TCGGTTGTTCTGTTAATTCGATGGGTGACAGTCCGTCCCGTTCACGGTAGAGTTAACCTTTAACTTATCTGTTTGAGTTTCCCTGACCTGTCGGTCTGTGACTGGATTTGTTCCATCGGATCCCAGAGCGTGCTACATAACCGATTTGTCGATTCATCACTGTTCCTGACCCATGTCCAAAAATAATTATCTTTCTTCGTCCTTATGGTAATCCCTCCACCTCAGAACACACCCACACTTAATGATGGGATTCGTGGCAGAATTACGTCCGTCCAACCATCGATCAAGATTGCCTCTGCCCTCCCCGCCCAATCAAAACAACCTAGTTTTCAGGTTTATCTCGGTCAATTGATTTTTGACTTCTGTGGTAACGCCATAGGTTTTCAACTGTATACTGCACATGTGAGTAGGTTGCCAATGCATAGTGACTCATCGATCATTTTGGTTGATTACGTTTGTTGGACAATGAGCATTGTATGTAGCTGACATTTGATAACTTTTTGTTGTTTGACAAATTGCCATATGAGATAAACGAAATGTCAGAGGACGAAGCATATGTGGTTATAAGTATCTGACTGATCTGAACAATGCGTATGGTTTTCATGAAAGTTGATCCGTGTACATTAGCTTCGAGGTGGTGCGGCTCTGGGTGAAACTGTACTGAGTGGTTCACACGTGAGACAGCCAAGGCCAAAACTATAGGTTTGATCTGCTTTATTTTTTATCCCAAACCCTCATCGAGCAGGTTATAAATCAAATGGGGAATAGTAAACAAGTCTATCCTAGCCCCTCGGTCCTGTATCACAAAAAATATGTATGGTAAGACAAATGAATAACGGCATAACCTAGTGTAAATTGCAAATCTGGTATCCGAATAAAACTAATCTGAAGCATTTTAGAGTATCAAGCTTGGATTAACCCATTCGACTGTTCAGAGCTCCGGGGTAAGGGTTTGAAGTCCCGACCCGACTGATCGCGGTTCGAGTCCTGTCAGGGACACAAAACGTACGCACTGCTGACGAGTCCCAGACAGGACGAAACAGCTGTCCAGTGCTCTTTGTTGGTTATCACAAACATTTGCATCTAATCTGAAGCAGTTTTTGATGTTGAAATTCCACTCTCACTGCGCAAGTTCCGGTATGAGCAGTAGTGTGTGTATGTGTGGGTCTATGTATTATTGCATTAGTGTGATCACTGACCATGGATATGGAGGAGCNNNCGTTGCGTTTTGCTTTTTCAACATAGAGTTGGTCATCAAAATGATTTTTACCCCACTTACTCAACAACTGTACATCCGAATTTTAATATGCAGTTTGTAATCGGTTGCTAGTAGTCTGGAGAAAATGACTCCTATCGTACTCATTCAACTCTATTTAGCTATTCTGGTGTTACGTGAACAGAAGTTGAGACTACTTTTCTCTCTCGAATCTTATAGTTGAACACATTTGTGGATGTTCCTTTTGCAATGTCTAGCTACCTATGAATTACGTGGGAGATAAATATCCCCTGGAATGTGGCACGGACACAATGTTTATCCTTTTTGAGTGAACTGTTTACCGATCATAATCGTTTTTT